CAAAAATCCTCACAATTGGACCCATAAGCAGCATGATGATAAACGGAGAAAAGATTGAAGTTGTCAAAGACTTCACGTTGCTTGGTTCTACAATCGATGCCAATGGAAGGTGCAGTCAGGACATCGGATGACGCATAACACTGCGCAGTCAGCTGCAAAGGACCTCTTTCAAGTGCCGAGAAGCAAGGATCTCTCCTTGAGGACGAATCTGTGCCTGACAGAAGCCATGATATTTTCAATTGCCTCGTATGTATGCGGAAGCTGGACAATGAATAAAGAAGAACGAAGAAGTGCTGATGCTTTTGCGTTGTGGTGCTTGGAAAGAATGCTGAAAGTCTTGCGGACTGCAAAAAGAACAGATCTGTCCTGGAGGGAGTGCAGCCGGAATGCTCCTTGAAAGTGAGAATGCCCAGACTTTGTTTCACCTATTTTGGTCGTGTTGTCAGAAGGGACCATTCCTTGCAGAAATATGTCATGCTGGGTAAGATGGAGTGTCAACAAAAGAGGAGAAGGCTCTCAATGAGATGGATTGACACAGTGGCTGCGAAGATGGGCTCAAGAATAGCAAGGGTCATGGAGCTGGAGCGGGACCAGGCAGTCTTTTGTTCTGCTGTGCATAGGGTCGCTGTGAATCGGACACGAATCAACACCTATCAATAACAACAAAATTCCTAAATTTCCTTATATAATGGCAGCCACTCAGCTGCTCACAGTAGATTCCACCATGAAGTTGATTACCAGTCTCATCATGGGGAATACTACATCCAGCTGTCCAGCCACTCACAACCAGGTCCCACCAAGTTGACACATAACATCAACTACCACAATTAATGCCCAAATGCCTGTCTCCACCAGGAAGCCACCTACCCAGTGGCATCCAGCTTTCTCCAGCCTGTTGCTGTCTAATGCTGGTCTCTTGGCTCTGCTGCTGTTGGCTCTCTGCTGCTGTCTCCAATGAAGGACACACTCCACTCTGGTTTCCACATTTTAGGTGTCTGTCAGAGAAGCACCCAAGTCTCTCTGTACCAAATTCTGTTTTTGTTACCTGGTGTCACACTGACAGGAATATACCACAAATGGGATGGCTTTAATAAACAAGAGTTTATTCTATCACAGTTTTGAAGCATAGAAGTCTGATTTCAAAGTGCTAGGCTCTAGGGACTGGATGAAAGCCCCTCAGCCTTGGGCTTCTGCCCAAGCTCTACCTCTTGCTCCTGGCCCCCTGAAGCAGAAGGCCTTCTTCACTCAGGCAGCTGCTGGCTGAGGCTGACAAACCCAAGGTTGGAAAGGAAAAGGGCACAGTACCGATGTTACCAAACCACACAGAAGGACATTGATTCAAGTCCATTAAGAGTCTCAGGATCGGCAGACAACATGGCAGGCTGCTGAACAATGAGTCAGCCCCATGCAGGATCCCAGCGTGTTAAAGCTACAGACCATTCCTGAGTCTCCTTCATACATATTGGGAGCAGACCACACCCCTATGGCACCCACTCAGCTTTTCCAGTAGATTCCACCAACGACCTGGTTACCAATCTCATGATGGGGAACAACTACATCAAGCTGCCCAGTCCCTCAAACTCAGGTCCAGCCACGTTGACACATAGCCTCACATACCATGTTCATCATTAAAACACACATTATAGAATCACCCCAAAGCCAAGTACTTACCAGAAGGAATTAAACAAATAAATATGCATTGTGTAAAATTTCATTCATATGAATTACAGAAGATGGACCCTAATCCTGCTCTGTTTTGGAAGAGGTTCAGGGCAGCAGTCAGTCCCGTGGTGAGGAGATCACACCCAAGTCCTGGGATTACTGTCACCTAGTAGATGCTTTCTCATATCTCACAGAACCCAGTGCACAACTGTTTGTCTTTTTATATCTGTGAAATGGAGGTTTCACCCAGACCCTAATGTTGGCATCCACCTGACATGTTGTGTGTGTGTGTATATGTGTGTGCATGAAACTGGATAAGATAATGGGAACTCAGGGTTTAGCTCAGTACAATCCCATAATAAGAAATTATATTTTCCCAAATGCTGTCATTGCCATCAAACTCCCCCAGAACACTTACATCTGCTCTGAATCACTGCCCTCTCTGAAATCATCCAACCCCATAGTTTGCTATATAGATGGAGGATATGCAAATAGGTCCCTCCCTCAGCTTATGAAAACCAGCCCAGCCCCAACCCTGCAGCTCTGGGAGAGGAGCCCCAACCCTGGCATTCCAGGTGTCCCCATTCAGTGATCTGCACTGAACACAGAGGAGTCTCCATGGAGGCTGTGCTGGGCTGGGTTTTCCTTGTTGCTGTTTTAAAAGGTCATTCTATGCAGAGCACGTGCATGTGAATGGGCATGAGTGAGAGAAACAGTGGACATGTGTGACGGTTTCCTGACCGGGATGTCTCTGTGTTTGCAGGTGTCCAGTGTGAGGTGCAGCTGGTGGAGTCCGGGGGAGGCCTGAGTCAGCCTGGGGGGTCTCTGAGACTCTCCTGTGCAGCCTCTGGATTCACCTTCAGCAGTTACTACATGAGCTGGGTCCGCCAGGCTCCAGTGAAGGGCCTGCAGTGGGTCGCGTACATTAGCAGTGGTGGTGGTAGCACATACTACGCAGACTCCGTGAAGGGCCGATTCACCATCTCCAGAGACAACGCCAAGAACACGCTGGATCTGCAAATGAACAGTCTGAAAGTCGAGGACA